ATTTCTATATGTGACACGGCACCAGAGTTAAGTTAGGGTTTTTCAAAATGCTGACATGCCGAGCTCAAAAGGTTCGCCATCACTGGTCTAGGAGATCCCTCTGCCACCAGAACTACGATTCCCAGCATTCCTAGTGCTCCCTGAGCTCTGGGCTTCCGCTTATGGTCCTGGGGCTGCCACAGAACTATTCCCAGAATTTCTGGTGCTTCCCACGCTCCTGGTTTTCCCTTCCTGCTCTGTCTCCGTCCCATGGCCTCCCACTCTGCCAAGTCCTTCAAGCCGCCAGCTCTACCTCTCTGTTCTCCGTCTGGCGGCTTGGGGAGCCAAGTTCCTCAAGCCACTCACTCTCTGCCGGCTCTCCCGCTCTGCTCTCCGCCTGGCGCCTGTGTATGCAAATCAACCCACCATCTTTGTCAGGTTAATTTGCATACACATGCCTGATTGGCTGGTGAGTGTAGCAGAGGGATGGTCAATTTACATGTTTCTCGTTTATTATATAGGATTTTCTTGCTCTGGCCGGGTGGCTTGGTTGGCTGGAATGTTGTCCCATACACCAGAAGGTTGTGGGTTTGATTCCTTGTCAGGGCACATACTTAGGTTGCAGGTTCGATTCCTAGTCAGAGTGTGGGTTCCATCCCTGGTTAGGGCTGGTACGGGAGGCAACCGATCAATGTTTCTCTCTCATATTGATGTTTCTCTCTCTGTCTTCCTCTCTCTCTAAAGTCAGTAAAAAGGGTCATTTGGTTCAGTTACTGCAGTATATGCCTGAGGTGTAATTTTCTAGGGTTGTACCCTTCAAGCAATATCAGTAGTGGACACTGGCTTCCAGCCCTATGAGTGGGTAAGCTGGGTGATTTTAAGAACTAGTTAGGATGTAGATAATTGCTGGTAGCTTCCAGGCCCTAAAAGCTCCTGTGTGTTGAGCATGTCTGAGACAGCAAGATGAGAGAAACCTAAAGTGGAATTGGTTCCAAATGATGCTCCTTCAGGGGTTGTCTTTAATAAATTGAAGAATAAGAAAATAATCACGTTATTTTAGATAACTAGTTATCACATTTCAAAAATATTTCTTAGTGCTCAGTTCTTCACTATCTGGCCATTGGAAAAATCAGAGGCATAAATAATTTGAAATAATGAGCAGTATAAAATCATGTATAATTTGCTTTGGAATGAGTTTCTTCAGATATTAGAACATGAGAATTTCAGATGTTCAATTTCTAGAATTTCTTACTACAGATAATACATCACCAGAAAACATGCCTGAATAATGTAGGGGTGAGAGGTAGGATAGTGTTTGACTTTTTCCTTTCTGTATCCCTGCTTAGATTTCTTTGACTAAAACCCCATTGCGTAATTAAAAAGTGATTTTCAACACAATAAAAATATCAGTCTAAAGATCTACTGTCTGTATTTGATATTTGAAGGATACTGAAACCATGTGTAAATCCAGTAAGGGATTTAAGAAGTATGAAGTGATAAGATGATAGCTTTGTTATATATAATCTACCTAGAATAAAAGATCAGAAAAAGAATTATCAATACGTTCTTTTAGTATTCATTTTTAAAAAATATATTTTTATTGATTTCAGAGAGAAAGAGAGAGGGAAGAGATAGACACATCAACAGTGAGAGGAAACCATTGATTGGCTGCCTCCTACACAGCCCCCACTGGGGCTTGAGCTGGCAACCTGGACATGTGCCCTGACCAGGAATCGAACTGTGACCTCCTGGTTCATAGGTTGATGCTCAACCACTGAGCCACGCTGGTTGGGCTAGTATTCATTTTCTAAACCATTTTGAGAGCCTATACTTGGTGGTTTCCCTCTATCATTCTTAAGTCTTTGAGTTGCATGATGGGCATTTACTATCTTTTTCTTAAATGTTTAAAGGATTGCTTATGTTAATGTTTTCACATAACTTTTATTTTTATCTATTGACATTATTTGTACTTAAACTCTACAGCTATTCATTAGAACACACAGTGCAATTTTTAAACTGTGTTCTTGAAGGAGACCCTGTAAAAACAGTTGTAGCACCAGAGTTTGTTCACCAAAATGAGAATGCCACTTCTTACACTGCACAGAAGTCTAAGGAGAAAAAGGTATAGAATTACTTATTTTTTACTATAATGGTAAATAAATGTATTTGAAAATATAATTGTTTTATTGAGATAATTTAATGATTATTTCTTACCATTTTGACTAGATTGTAAATTTAACCACCAATACCATGTTTGGTTTAGAATGTCTTTTCACTCAAAGTAATGAATTTATAGCTGATTGTGATTTTTTCCTTCAATGTCATTGTCATTATGTACCACTAGCACTTTAATTTCTGTAACTTTTCCTGTGTAGACTACACAATTGAGTATGAGGCTTAATTGAATAGTAGTGGGATTGTAATATAGATGGGTCTTAGGCAGTAACTATGTGGGTAGAGATATTTAACCATTTGAGAAATTGCCAAATTTTTCCCCAAAGTGGCTATTTTACATTCCCACCGGCTGTGTATGAGGGTTACAATTTCTCCACATTCTCTCAGTCTTTTTTATTATAGCCATCCTAGAGGGTGTGAAGCTGTTTTAAGGGTACCTGGTCAGACACTAACACATGGAGATGGCATGAAGGAAGAAGTTTATTACATGCACAGATCTCTAGCAGCAGGAGGTATGGCCCACCATCCAGGGCCATATGGGAAGCACCAGGTTGGTCAGGAGCCAGAGGGAGTAGGTGGGGGAAATGTGGGCAAGAGGTTTTTTTGTAGTTTCTGTGGGAAGGAATAGGTGAGGCAAGGTAAGCAGGCTTAGGATTGGCTAGTTTGAATAATTTCTGTAGGCTTTGGGGCATAGGAACCATCCCTAGTTTTCTGGTACTTAGCCTGGGTGACTAGGGTATGTTGATGGTAGTCCAGTGGGTGAGAACTCCAAAACCCAAAAGGCAGTGGTTGCAATATGAGGTCTAGATTGGTTGGTTTGCATATATAAGATGCACCGGCAGGTGAGTTATTTGTTAACCCCAGGGTTGGGGGTGAGGGGGCTGTTTCTCCAGGGGTTAGCAGGGCCCTAGATGCCAAAGAATCAGAATTCAGGAAATAAAAGATGTGGTTAACACAGAAGTGATTTTGATTTTGATTTCCCTGATGACTGGTGATATTGAACATATTTTCTTTCATGTGCTTGTTGGTCATTTCTGTGTCTTCTTTGAAAAAGTGTCTATTTGTATCCTTTGTCCATTAGGCAATTTTTTTTGAGGAGTTCTTCATGTTAGATTCAAGTTCCTTATCAGCCATGTAATTTGCAGAATTTTCTCCCATTCTGAGGGTTGTCTTTTCACTTTTTTGATGGTGGTCTTTAAATTTTGATGATGCATAATCATCTTTTTTCTTTTGTTGATTGTACTTTTGGTGTTATGAAGATTTACACCTATTTTTTCTAAGAGTCTTACAGTTTTAGTGTGCATTCTGTTTAGGTCTTTGATCTATTTTGAGTTAATTTTTGTATGTGGCATGAAGTAGGGGTCCACGTTCATTGCTTTGCATGTGCATATCCATTTGTCATAGCATCACTTGTTGCAAAGACTGTTCTTTTCCCAATGAATTTTCTCATCACTTTTGTTGAAAATGAATCGACTGTAAGTTTTTTGCTAGACTCTCAATTCGATTCCGTTGATCTGTGTATCATTGTGTCAGTACCATATTGTCTTGATTTTGAAAATTGGGAAGTTAAGTTTCCAACTATATTCTTTTTTCAAGATTGTTTTGGCTGTTCTTGTCCACTTGCATTTCCATGTGAATTTTAGGATCAGCTTGCCAGTTTCTACAAAGAAGCTAGCTGGAATTTTTATGGGGATTGTGTTGAGTCTGTAGATCAGTTTGAGGTGTATTACCATCCTAACTATTGTGTTCTAATCTTTGAACAGGGAGTATCTTTCCATTTATTTAGGCCTTCTTAATTCATTCAATAGGATATTATAGTTTTGAGTATTAAGTTTTGCATGTCTTTCGTTAAATTTACTTTAAAATATTTTCCTTTTTTTTACCTTCAAATATGAAAAGCTATTTTTTTCTTTTCTTTTCTTTTCTTTGATGCTATTATAAATGAGATTGCTTTCTTCATTTTATTTTTGGATTGTATAAATGCATAGAAATAGAATTGATATTACTCTTGTATGTATTAGATTTAGGTTTTTTTGTTTGTTTGTTTTTTTAACAGACCTTTAGTAACCCACTATCCTTATTTATTCATAAGACCACTCAGGGATAACTTGTGTGCTCCATTTTTTTAAAAACATATTTTTATTGATTTCAGAGAGGAAGGGAGAGGGAGAGAGAGAGAGAGAAACATCAATGATGAGAGAGAACCACCATCAGCTGCCTCCTGCACCCCTCTTCTCCCTGCTCCCCCCCACCCCCCCACTGGGGACCGAGCCAGCAACCAGGGCATATGCCCTGACCAGAATCGAACCCGGGACCCTTCAGTCCACAGGCTGACACTTTATCCACTGAGCCAAATCAGCCAGGGCCATTTTTTCTTTTAATATTTCACCATCACTTAGTTGATATGTAGGACATAGCTAATTTTGATATTCATGTGATCTGTTAATGCTGTACATTAACAGACACCCCAAGTGATACCCCTGATGCCTGTGTTCATCATGGATAGACAGGTGTAGCCTATTATAAGGTGCGAAGAGTGTATAAGATGATGATGAGGCCTTCCAGGCCAAACTGGGAATGAAGATTACTTCTTTTCTCTCCTGACGAGAGCAAGGCACCATGGATCATTATGGCACCATGGATCATTATGGTGATGGGAAGGTGTATTGCTCAAAGTTGGAGATGATTGGGAAATGTTGGAATCAGAAAAGGAGATTCTGTGTTATGTAAATGTTGGCCAAAATGTAAACTTTAAGTTATTTGGGAGATTATTCTTAGTCTTTCTCGCAAAATGTAGTCAGGTGTCACAATGCTGCTAAAAACCTTTTTACATTTGTGAGAATATTCTGTTTGCTGTCCTAGGACCCTAAGGGACCACATATACTAAAGGGAAGTATCATGGTACCAGTAAATTTTTTTTTTTGTACCAGTAATGTTTTGGTTTATCTGTTTTCAAGAAACTAACATTTATAGCTGTGTTTTATTAATTCTACTGCTTTTCCCCTTTAGCCTTTAATAAAATTTATGGGCTTGTTACCATAGGAAATGGTTTTGGTATTATAATATATCATGTTTTCAACAGAATAAGTGACACTAATTAGGTGAATTCCTGGGAAGCCTATATTTCGATTTCACTTGGCTCCTGTTAATGAAGTAATAGTAAACCATAGAACTATCGGGTACAAAAATAAACCTTAGTTTTGTTTTAAAAGAGAGTGGCTATTTGAGGAAGCATCTCTCATTATAGCTGTTTTTTTCTTTTAAAAAATAAGAAATGAAGGGTCTCTTCCCAGAGAAGCAAATGTGATTTGCATTTTTTAGTATGAACACCAACAGAGAGACTAATGCTATGAAATATTTATGTTCACAGTGTTTGTCACTCTGGGCTTTCAGAAGTCATAGAAAGCGTTTTTATTATCCCCTCCCTGCAAAATTTTTGATTTTATCAGGGATGCCAGCCATACACTCAGAATATTTAAACATTAATCTGTAACCAGCTTGTGATTAAGTATTGGCAAGAGTGATATAAGGATGTAGGTCCCATGAATATTCTATGCCAGAGAGAGCCTTGTGCTCTTTTGTAAAATAAACTGGATATTTGTTACAACAATAAACTGACTGTATATTTATAGATTTTTGACCCCGGTAATGAATTAGAAGTATGATGATGCCTTTATTTTTATTCTTCTCTCTCTTTTTAAATTTCATTTATTTTCTATAACTCTTTCAATCCTCTAGAATTCTAGGGGCCAAGTAAGCAAAATGTAATGAGTGAAAAATTATACAACTATCAAAGGTTTTTTCTCAACCTTTCTTGGCTTCTGAACTCCATTCACAGGGAGAAAGTTTGAAAAATTATTCTTATCAATTAGTGATATATATATTGTATAATACATATAATGTTTCATAATATTAATATATATTAAATTCTATTACATAAAATCCTTAATTGGCATTTATTAAAGATTGTCTTATAGAGTACATTATAATTATAATCCCTCATAATATTTCTAATTTAATGACTGTTTTTAGCTTTTGGAAATTTAACAAGTAAACTGATTTCTTTTCAATTAATTATATCAGAAAAACATGATTTATTTTAAAAAAATTGAAATTTATATTTTTTTGGGGGGGTTTGCTTTTCAATGTTCATAAAATGTATGGCACCCGATACTTGGGATTCTTTTAGGCTTTTAAGAAAATCAACTCAATCATAGTGATTAAACCCCTCCTCCAATCCCCCCACTCCAATTACATGCTAAGAAACATCAGATTTCTGCTTGCAAATAATATTTTGGAGAGTGGATAAATAAATGAAAGCCAAATTGGATATAGACGTCACAAGTGCTGATTTTTAATATTGACTTTGATATTTTAGAAACATCTGGATGTGTACTGTATAAGAATTTTCTTCAGAAAAATGGAATTTTCTATTTGGTGGCAAGCATTAAGGCAAATTTGCATAATTATTATTTCCAGTACCTTGTGTTTTAACTTGGTTACTTTTGCTTCTTTAAATATAAAGTCTATTCTGAATAGCAATTACTTGATTGAAAGATCATTTTCCAAAAGCTCATTAAGTCAACACTGCCATAGCAGCTAGTTGGGAGTCATCTGATTAAAAACTGCTCCTATAAACGCACTTGAGATTTTTACTACCTACCAGGCATGGTCACTACACATGCCCTTCTGTTTTAAAAAGAATAAAATTATTTTAATCAGTTAAAAAAGTTTTTATTGGGGTGATATTGGTTACTAAAATCATGTAGGTTTCAAGTTACAATTCTATGATACATCACCTGTGTATTGCATTGTTGGTTTACAGCCAAAGTCAAATCTCCTCCTGTCGCCATATATTTGAGACCCCCTTTACCCTTTACTACTTCCCACCTCTTTCTCTCTGGTAACCACCACCCTATTGTCTGTGTATGAGTTTTTATTTGTTCATTTGTTGTTTTCAGTTTTATATCCCATATGAGTGAAATCATATGGTTCTTGATTTTTTTTATCTGACTTATCTTGCTTAGCACAATATTCTCAATATCCATCCATGTTGTCCCAAATTGGCAGTATTTCATATTTTATGTACTACATCTTCAATCATATGTCAAAGGACACTTTGGGTGTTTCCATGTCTTAGCTACTGTGAATAATACCGCAGTAAACATAGGGATACATATATTCTTATGAATAAATGTTTTCAAATTTTGGGGGGTAGATACCCAGAAGAGGGATTTCTGGGTCATAACCTTAATTTTTGGGGGATCCTCCATTGTGTTTTCCATAGTGGTTGTACCCATTTACATTCCCACCATCAGTGAATGGTGATTCCTCTTTCTTCACAGCCTTTGCAACACCTGTTGTTACTTTGATAATAGCCATCAAACAGGTGTGAGGTCGTATCTCATTGTAGTTTTGAGTTGCATTTTCCTAATAGCTAGTGAAGTTGAGGATCTTTTCATATACTGTTGGCTGTTTGTATGGACAAGTGTTGTTTCAGGTCCTATGCTCATTTTTTAAAGTGGATTATTTTGTTGAATTGAAATATGCCATTACAAAAAATAGGAGTTACCTGCCGTTCCTACTTTCAGTGACTGGACCCTTTGAATGGGTTCACAAACTAAAATTTGAAAAATTTTGCATTAGTTGATAAGTGCATGACTTACTAGGTAGACACTAGGGAGATGTTTTTGTCTGAGAAGAAAGATGAAAAATAGTAGAGCCTAGTTTTCATATATATTTTTATGAAGGTAAAGCCTATATTTCCTACTTCCTTTGTATTGTACTTATTGGGTAACATCGTATAGGCAAAGAAATCGAAGGAGACTGAAGATACACCGAGTGAATCACCCTTCCAGGATTTTGAGTACCCCAAGTACGACGACTACAGGGCCGAGGCTTTCCTGCACCAGCAGAAGAGGATGGAATGCTACAGCAAGGCCAAAGAGGCTTATCGCATGGGGAAGAAAAACGTCGCCACATTTTATGCTCAGCAGGTAGGGAGGAAAACTGGTCATTGTTTTTTTCTTTGTCACTTATGATGTCTGAATAATCTGGAAGCAGATAATACTTGTATTGGGATGAGATTAAGTTATTCTGGGGAATGTAGATTATATAAGTGGTATAAGGTAACTTGATATATAAGAAATGTATGGTTCTGAGACTTTCATCTCCTTTGAAATGCTCAGTTTCTGTGGTTGCTGTTGCATTTACAGTTTACAGGAATTGCAGTTTATTCTGACAGCCTGTATTTTATTTTAGGTTAGATTCCCCCATTCAGTACCACTTGTAAACAGATACAAGTCTGGAGCAACGACAGCAGAATGTTAATATTGGCCATCTCTGGGTGGGATCACAGGGGCCTTGTGCTTTAAATCACGTTAGAATTTTCAGTAATGTATCACTTTTATAATCAGAAAAAGGAAGTTACATTACTGTCTTTCAGAGAAATAAAATTTCTACTGGGGCTCATTTGGCATAGTATTGCCTGATTGACCTTTTATTTTTGTGGTTCTATATGGCTTACTTGTTTGTGACTGAGCAGAGAAAGGCATCAAGCTGGTATAACCCTGTGAGCCCTAATAGTAAACCGTGAGGGATGGCTTCAGGGGTAATTACAAGGTTTTAAAAGGGATGAGATGCGGGATTATCAAAGGATAAACCAGTGGATTCCTTCTTGAGATGGATGGTGTTTGTTTTCTATGATTTGGGGATCAGAAAATAGGTTTGAAATGATTCATTAGTTTGAGAACTATCTTGTTAATACACTGAAATTTACCTAAATTTTGGTGCATTCTTACATATTAGCTCATTGCATTAAAAACTATTTTAGATTAGCTATTCCCTGTTTTGTTCTACCTTTTATTTGGGCCACTGTTTCCTCATTGCCGACCAAGTGACAAGTATCACAAGTGTTTCCTGGTGTTATGTTTATAATTAAAGGGTAGTCTCCATGAGCAGAAGATGAGGGAAGCTAATCACCTTGCTGCGATAGAGATCTTTGAGAAAGTCAATGCCTCCCTGCTGCCACAGAACGTTTTAGACCTCCATGGACTGCACGTGGATGAAGCTATAGAACATTTGATGGCAGTTTTACAGCAGAAAACTGAAGGTAGGACTGTGAAAATGACAAATTTTCAATTCAAAATATGTCTTTGCTCATATTGGTATAAATTACAAATTCAGGAGAGTCTGAATGTGCAAGCTGAGGATATATGTGCCACGTTTATAGGCTCTTTCCTCAAGAGAACCTCTTGGGAAAGAATTGTGATGGGCACGGCCACTAACAGTTTCTTTTTTATTTCCCTGTTTCACTTACATTTGTATTTCTTTGATGTGTTTGTTAAAGGAAGGGCACAGTATAATCTGGGAATCCTGAGACTTATAAGTGGGACCTTTCAGAAATATTATACATCTTTGTTCAATAGACATTAATTAAAGCTAATAGGTATTTCTTACATGTCACTTGTTCAACTGATGTTTAATAAAATGCAGAAGTAACTAAGGTGATAGAATTTTTACAGAATTCTCACAAAAGGCAGGCTTTCTGAGTGTTTGCATTACGGTGGTTTTCCCTTTCTGCTTGCACTTTGTCTCTGCAGGTCAATACCTGCCTCTCATCTAAATTCTGCCTCTTCCCAGGGCTTCGGTGAGGATCTTTTTCATGTACCTACTCAATATCCTGCAATTCACATACATTAAAGTACCAGTTGGTGTGGATTCTTGTTTCTTTTTCATGATCAGATAGTAGCACTTAAAAAAATTCAATCTGTTTTAGTTACCCCAGACTTCAATACTAGATGTCATCTCCTTTCATCAATAGAATAGTATTTTTGAATTCTCAACTTGGCTTTTTCTTTATCTTCCTTTTTATTGTGAAGTCCTAGAGTACCATGTCTCAGCTCTTACCTTGTGACTCCATAGCCCTGCCTTGTCATTTATAGCTGCATTGTTTTGCTTAATTGATTTATATATATTTTAGAAAGCTTTACACTGTACTTTATACAGGTTTATCAGTTCAACACATATCACTGGTAATTAAATACTTGAAGAAATATGATTGATATAAAAGGTTGATACTTTGTGACTTTGTGTACTGTTGTTCTACAATATTTTGCCTAATTTTAATATCCATTGATAATCCTTGGCTAATTGACTTATTATATTGGTGGTTGCCTATGGTGTTTTTAGTGAGGTGGAGAAAGGAAAGAAGGAGGGAAGGAAGGAGAGAGAGAGAAACATCAATGTGCCCTTGACCAGGAATTGAGCCAAGCTGCCCAGGGCTGCTAATGGTGTTTTATAATTTTTGTCCATTCTGTGTTTTATAGCAGACGTTCTTCAATGTTCCTCCAGTTTTATTTTGTTTTGTTTTTTTAAATAGAAAATTGGACATTTTAGAGAAAATCTAGAAAACAATAATAATAAAGATCAGAAAAGAAAATTTAAGAGCATTTTAAATATGTTATCTGGAGAAAAGAAAGACTGTCATGTAAGCAGTAATATAAGAGAATATTCTGTCTAGAGGATGAATAAATCATTTACTCAATAAATTTGATTATTTTCTATATTCTAGGCATCAAGGATAAAGCAGTGAAAATGAAACACAGTCTCTGTCTATGGAGTTTGCCATCTACTAGGGTAGATGATAATGGACAAATAGTTACAGACATAATTAGCATTGTGATAAGAAAGTATAGGTTGCCATGTTTCATGTAGCATAACTGCTGGGGTCCAACCCCAGCAGGTCCAGGGGTCCCCAAAGGTGTGGACGGAGTCGGCGAAGAAGGAATGTCACAGAGACAGCGTTCAGTTGATCAGCAGCCTTGCCAGGATCTCTAGCCACAATCTCCAGCCAAGTTCTGTGTCCATGTTC